CTGAATATACTTCTGCATGGCTCAGATTGTTTGTTATGCTGCTGAAATCACACCAAAATAGCCTGGTTTTCAAGAAATTATTAAATCCTCGTGGGAAATGAATGTTCTTCTGGTGTTCCATAACAGAGTAACTAGAATTTCAGTGATTCAAAATCTCTAGACATGCCTGAAAATCTAATTTTGAATAACTCTCTATTTTTTTTATTTTTTTTTTACTATATTAATTATTCCATTTCTTCCAGCTTTGCAATTAATGCATTATTTTCTTCTGGTCATTAAGCAGGACACAGAGGGGTTTAATACCCAGAAATGAGTTTTCCACTTGGATTGACTCTCTCAAGTGCTGCTGAAAGGCACCACAGGCTTTCCAGCCCCCCAGTTTGGGGGATGCCACATGGGAAGGACTCTGGGAGTGTTTGGGCAGACAATAATTTGGGCAGACAATAAACTCTGTCTCTGACAAATTTGTGGAAGTTATTGCACTTTTATAACTGTTCCATTTGTATTGTTTTATTGCTGCATTTTATTATCTCTTCTTTCTACCTCTGCTTTCTACCTGTGCTCCAAAGGAGATGGATGATGCACATCCACTGCAGCATCAAGAGGTTTTTTGTTTTCCCTCATAACCAATTTTCAGCTAATTTAATACACCAGATTTTCCAGATTCTTACAAGACTGAGTGATATAATTCTTTTGAGCAAGGGAGGCAGCAGCACAGCATGAATAAACCCTCTGCAGCTTCCCAGGGAGATAATACTGCTTTACAGTGGCAGCTTTAACCTTTCCTTTTTCCTCTCATTTTCCTGCTGTCTGATGTCTATTTTTATCCAGTGATCTTATTTGAGAAACAAAATGAGTAAAGAACATTGCTATTCTTGGAAACCCTCCAAGAGGCTGGGATGAGAGGTGGAGATAGGCAGCATCTCCCTCCAAAGAGTGTTTTGTGCTGACAGCCAAAGGTATCCTCACAGCAGCGCTGGGAATGAGAAATTGGAGTGTCATTTCCTTCAGTCAGAGACCAGCTTTGCTCAGGACCACACGAATGGACAGAGATTGTAATAAATGCAGTTCAAAAATAAACCCAAACAACTTTTTCAGCCCTGGCCAAGGGCTGAGATGAGGAGTTGGAGCAGGACCCCACAGTGATTCATCAGAGGAAACACAAAGCCTCTGACGAGGTGATTCATCCTCTCTGGGTGTTTTGCAGCCACCTCAATTTACTGATTTTGCATTTCCATATCAAATGTTCTCCACAAGTGCTCACATGTTCGTGTGTGTGCAGTGAGCTGCAGCTCAGAGGGGGCTGCAGAACACTGCAGCCACCGGGGTCTCCCACTGAAGATAAAGGATCTTGGAAATCATCTCATTCCAGGCTGGGTGGAGCTCTGAGCAACCTGGGACAGTGGAAGTTGTCCCTGCCCATGGCAGGGGAGGGATGGGATGATCTCTAGGGTCCATTCCACCCCAGAGCCCTCTGTGATTCCCTGATTCCATAGGAAGCCTGGCAGCATCCCTGCTATGAATGACCCTCAATGAGGATGGTGGCAGGAATCACTCAGGGTAATAAAACAGACATTTTGGTTCCTTTTGTCTCTTAGATCCTGGGTGAGGTTCTGGGAGTCAGCTACATGGATGTAAACACTGCTGGTGGCTTTGACAAGAAATGGACACAGTTCATACAAACCCAGGAACCTCTAATGGCACCTACACTCTTCCCCCACCCTGGATTTCAGTGGCAGCTGGGTGCCCACACGTCTCTCAAAAATTGGGCATTATTGTCTTTGATAAAGGTTTCAGTTATAACAACTTCATTTGGGGTGAATTTCCAGTGACCCCCACGGATGGCTTCTCAGCTCTCAGTGAGTTCATTTCCTTTAGCTGAGGAGTAGAACAATAAGTACTAACAATGGGCTGGGGTATTTTGTATTTCTCCTGACAAAGGCAATCACTTGCAACATCTACCAAGAAATAATTAGAGCTGCTGGTTTTGTGGTTCACTTGTTTTCTGCCTCCCTGCCCTTTTATGCAAAGCTCTTTGCTGCACAGGACACAGCTCGTGCTGATGCAAATTCGGGGCAAGCACCGACTTTAACCTTTTGAACCACAGCCGGGGAGAATTGGTACAACACTGGTCAGGAGACATGAAACTGTGAACTGTGCTCAGCATCATCAGGCAGGTGAGAGTGTGACAGGGGTGCAGGGTGATGTTGTTATGTTTGAAAGCACATCACCACCTCTAAGCCAGAACACAGAGGCAGAGTACCCCAAAACACCTATTTAATGGGGGTGCTCCATCCCTGGCAGCCTCCAAGGCCAGGCTGGATGGGGCTTGGAGCAGCCTGGGATGATTGAAGGTGCCTCTGCCCAGGACAGGATGAGCTTTGAGGTCCCTTCCACCCCAAACCAGTCTGGGATTCTGTGATTCTGGGACCTTCCCAGCAGGTTCCAGCCTCTCCAGCTCACCCTGTGGGTTTGATCAGATTTATCTCAGAAAGCACCAGGTGTGCTTTAACCTGCACTTGTGTGCATAAATGTATCCCGTTTTCTCTCACTGACATTCACTGATCTCTTTTCCTTCTGCAGCCATCACCACCACCTGGCTGTTCTTACCTGAGTTTAGCACAGGTGTTTTTCTGTTTGAAGAGCTGACCTGCAATCCAGGTGTGAGTGCAAAGAGCCCAAGAGCTCGCTGAGAACTGAGCCCTCCTCATGACACCACACGAGGTGACATCCTACAAACTACACCACCAGTCTCCTCTGGAATATCACCTACCCCAGTGAGGGATCTCTCTGCTCAGTCATGAGCAGGAGTTGCTGGATCTGCCTGCTCTAGAGTCACTACAAGACCTTGAAAATTCGGATTTTCCTGCATTTCAGAGCTGTGACATCGTTGAGGAGGGCTGGGGAGAAATTACTTTGGTAAGGGATCTCCATGTGCTGCTTCCCAAAGACTGGATTTGCTGCTCTGCACTTGCAGCCTTAAGGGGTCAAACGAACTTTCATAGGCAAGAATTTGTAAATCTTTCCTTTATAATAAAGATTAATTTCCAGGACAAGAACCTCTGCTGCTCGTGGCTGTCCAGAAGTTTCTGCAGGATTTTTTGAGGATCCACCTCATCCAACCTGCCAGGTCTGAGCAAGTGAGAACATTTTCTCCTCCCTTGGTCTCTGGATAAAACAGTTTGTGCCTGTTCCCATGGTGATATGGGATACTCTGAGAGAGACTGCATTGCAAATCTGTAGAAGCCTCTGTAGTACTGTGCTCCACTAATTTTGTTAAAGACAGTGGTAGTGGATAGGAAAATGACACAACTCTGCAATGTCAGGGGTGTAAAGAACAATTGGATTAAAATTGAAAAGTTCTACCTTTTATCTGGGAGGCCAGAGCCCAAATGAGAGGAAACTGGAGAACTGCACTCAATAAATGCCTGTTTTTTCTGTTCTGATGTTCCTCCAGAGGAATTTCTTGCTGCTCTCTACTGAAGGCAAGGTGCTGAGCTGGATGGACCATTGGTAAGATCCTCTTTTCCCTCTCTGATATCCCTGTAATATCAAATTGGGATTAGCTGAGACAAATAACCCAGGATTTTTTTTTTTCCTGTTAAATAAATTTACTGTCTTGAATGGATGTGATTCAAAAGAGGACACACATCCAGCTGTGAACATTGTCAGAAAAACTCATGTGTCTTTTGACTTGGACTGGCCAGAAAGCCAGGAGTCATCCCATAGAAAACATGCAGGGATGTTAACATGGAACAGAGTGGGAATATTTCCAGATAAATCTCACTGGAGTTGTGTGCAAAGCCAGGGTGATTGTCCCAGGCCAGGACAGGATAGAAGTGAGCAGGAATTCCCTGACTGTAGAAAACCCTGGGATTGCAGACACCCTCTGTGGGCACATCCCAACCTCTGCATTCAGCTGCTTCGGTGTCACCTCTTCCTTTCTGCCCACAACTTGCACCCTGCAGCAGAAATGTATTTCTGACACATTTCTGTGAAACTCTTCCATGAAAATCTCACCCAAATACCTGCAGACCTCCACAGACAAGGGTAGTCATAGAATGATAGAATATCTTGAGCTGGAAGGGATCCAGAAGGATTGATTCCAACTCCCTGCTCCTCCCAGGAGTGCCCAATGCGAGCTCCTATGCCCAAGAGGATCCTCCCGAGGTTCCTGCACCCTTGGCAGGGTTAGTGCTGTGGGGAGCCTATTCCAGAGATCAGCCACCCTCTCAGGAAGAGCCTTCCCACAAAGTCCACTCCGACCTTGCCCTGGGGCAGCTCCCCTCCCTTTCCTGCTGTCCTGGTCACCAGCAGGCACCGGCAGCTCCTGCCCTGCTGTCAGGAGCTCTGGATTGCCATGAGCTCCCCTGCTCAACCATCCTCTCCAGCCTGAACAAACCTCAGGTGTTCCTCAGAAATCCTGCCCTTGGTGCCTTTCTCACCCTCCCCTGGCCACACCCTCAGAGTCCGGTGTCCTTTTCGTGCCGAGGTGCCCAAAACTGCTCCCAGCGCTCCGGGTGGGGCTGCAGCAGTGCAGGGCAGAGCAGAACAGAGCTGGTCCATCATCCCCTCCCTCCCTCCCTGGCTGGTGATGCTCTGCTTGGGGCACCCCAGGGCTGCCCAAAGGTCGCCCAAAGGTGGATGCCTGCCCAAAGGAAGGTCACCCAAAGGTGGATGCCGAGCTCCGGAGCTCTCTCCCTGCAGGGAGGCAGCGGAGTTTCAGTGCACGACAGGAAGGCAGAGCTCGGGGCGACTCCCTGACCCAGCTGCAGCCGCACCGAGTATAAAATGAAAGAGAATTTGCATATCTCCCCATTTGACAGAGCCTGGGGCGGGGGGTGGTGGTGGTGTCTGTTCGCTTTGTGACATCAGAGCCCGGGGCTGCAGCGCAGGACCTCGGCGGAGAAATCCCGGAGCGACGACATGAATGAAGCTCCTTCCCCTGCCGGCAGCCGCGTCCTGCCTCACGCCCCCGGGGCCCTCTCTCTTTGCACAGACACTGATGAAGTTTTTTTTCCGGATCACATGAGCCAGGATGAAGGGGGAAAATCCTGCCAGGAGCAGACATGGGCTGCAACTTGAACCCGACCGAGGGGAGACACAGAGCAGTGCCTGGAGAGCTATATAAGAATGTGCCAGGCTCAAGAGCAAACACTTTCTCAGGTGAAGGACTCGCATGAATCAGCCATGAATGTGAATGAAGACACTGTTTCCAGCAGGCTTGGAGCCACTAACAAAGTCTGTTTGTATTTCATCATCGCCATCCTGGGTGCATTGCTCGTCTTTGCCTTGGCCACCATCATGGTCCTGGTCGTCCAGAGGACGGTAAGAAATTAATTCTCTTCTCTTCTCTTCTCTTCTCTTCTCTTCTCTTCTCTTCTCTTCTCTTCTCTTCTCTTCTCTTCTCTTCTCTTCTCTTCTCTTCTCTT